TCAGTTGTCTTACCTGTACCCACACACCAGTTGTCTTACCTGTACCCACACACCCCAGTTGTCTACCTGTACCCACACACCTCAGTTGTCTTACCTGTACCCACACACCTCAGTTGTCTTACCTGTACCCACACCTCAGTTGTCTTCCCCACCTCATTGTCTACCTGTACCCACACACCCTGTTGTCTTACCTGTACCCACACACCTCAGTTGTCTTACCTGTACCCACACACCAGGTTGTCTTACCTGTACCCACACACCTCAGTTGTCTACCTGTACCCACACACCCTGTTGCCTTACCTGTACCCACACACCTCAGTTGTCTTACCTGTACCCACACACCCTCATGTCTTACCTGTACCACACACCCCAGTTGTCTTACCTGTACCCACACACCTCAGTTGTCTTACCTGTACCCACACCTCAGTTGTCTTACCTGTACCCACACACCTCAGTTGTCTTACCTGTACCCACACACACCTCAGTTGTCTTACCTACCCACACACCTCAGTTGTCTTACCTGTACCCACACACCCCAGTTGTCTTACCTGTACCCACACACCTCAGTTGTCTTACCCACCCACACACCCCAGTTGTCTTACCTGTACCCACACACCTCAGTTGTCTTACCTGTACCCACACACACCCAGTTGCTCTGCACCCACACACCCTCTGTGTCTTACCTGTACCCACACACCTCAGTTGTCTTACCCCACACACCTCAGTTGTTACCTGTACCCACACACACCTCAGTTGTCTTACCCCTGTACCCACACACTCAGTTGTCTTACCTGTACCCACACACCCCAGTTGTCTTACCTGTACCCACACACCTCAGTTGTCTTACCTGTACCCACACACCTCAGTTGTCTTACCTGTACCCACACACCCCTGAAGTTTTACCTGTACCCACACACCCTCAGTTGTCTTACCTGTACCCACACACACCCGTTGTCTTACCTGTACCCACACCGTTGTTCCCCAGTTGTCTTACCTGTACCCACACACCCCAGTTGTCTTACCTGTACCCACACACCTCAGTTGTCTTACCTGTACCCACACCCTAGTTGTCTTACCTGACCCACACACCTCAGTTGTCTACCTGTACCACACACCCTCAGTTGTCTTACCTGTACCCACACACCAGTTGTCTTACCTGTACCCACACACACCCCAGTTGTCTTACTGTACCCACACACCTTGTTTCACCCCCCTCAGTTGTTCTACCTGTACCCACACACCTCAGTTGTCTTACCTGTACCCACACACCCTCAGTTGTCTTACCTGTACCCACACACCTCAGTTGTCTTACCTGTACCCACACACCCCTGTCTTACCTGCACCCACACACCTCAGTTGTCTTACCTGTACCCACACACCTCAGTTGTCTTACCTGTACCCACACACACCTCAGTTGCCTTACCTGCACCCACACACACCTCAAGTTGTCTTACCTGTACCCACACACCTCGTTGTCTTACCTGTACCCACACACCTCAGTTGTCTTACCTGTACCCACACACCTCAGTTGTCTTACCTGTACCCACACACCTCAGTTGTCTTACCTGTACCCACACACCTCAGTTGTCTTACCTGCACCACACACCCTCAGTTGTCTTACCTGTACCCACACACCTCAGTTGTCTTACCTGTACCCACACACCTCAGTTGTCTTACACTGTACCCACACACCTCAGTTGTCTTACCTGTACCCACACACACCTCAGTTGTCTTACCTGCACCCACACACCCTCAGTTGTCTTACCTGTACCCACACACCTCAGTTGTCTTACCTGTACCCACACACCCTCAGTTGTCTTACCTGTACCCACACACACCTCAGTTGTCTTACCTGTACCCACACACCCCAGTTGTCTTACCTGTACCCACACACCTCAGTTGCCTTACCTGTACCCACACACCTCAGTGTCTTACCTGCACCCCACACCTCAGTTGTCCACCTGTACCCACACACCTCAGTTGTCTTACCTGCACCCACACACCTCAGTTGTCTTACCTGTACCCACACACCTCAGTTGTCTTACCTGCACCCACACACCTCAGTTGTCTTACCTGTACCCACACACCTCAGTTGTCTTACCTGCACCCACACACCTCAGTTGTCTTACCTGTACCCACACACCTCAGTTGTCTTACCTGTACCCACACACCCTCAGTTGTCTTACCTGTACCCACACCCCGTTGTCTTACCTGTACCCACACACCTCATTGTCTTACCTGTACCCACACACCCCAGTTGTCTTACCTGTACCCACACACCTCAGTTGTCTTACCTGTACCCACACACACCTCAGTTGTCTTACCTGTACCCACACACCCTCAGTTGTCTTACCTGTACCCACACACCTCTCAGTTGTCTTACCTGTTACCCACACACCTCAGTTGTCTTACCTGTACCCACACACACCTCAGTTGTCTTACCTGTACCCACACACCTCAGTGTCTTACCTGTACCCACACCCTCAGTTGTCTTACCTGTACCCACACACCTCAGTTGTCTTACCTGTACCCACACACCTCAGTTGTCTTACCTGTACCCACACACCTCAGTTGTCTTACCTGTACCCACACACCCTCAGTTGTCTTACCTGTACCCACACACCTCAGTTGTCTTACCTGTACCCACACACCTCAGTTGTCTTGCTACCCCACACACCTCAGTTGTCTTACCTGTACCCACACACCTCAGTTGTCTTACCTGTACCCACACACCTCAGTTGTCTTACCTGCCACACCTCAGTTGTTACCTGTACCCACACACCTCAGTTGTCTTACCTGCCCCACACACCTCAGTTGTCTTACCTGTACCCACACACCCTCAGTTGTCTTACCTGCACCCACACCTCAGTTGTCTTACCTGTACCCACACACCTCAGTTGTCTTACCTGCACCCACACACCTCAGTTGTCCTACCTGTACCCACACACCTCAGTTGTCTTACCTGTACCCACACACCTCAGTTGTCTTACCTGTACCCACACACCTCAGTTGTCTTACCTGTACCCACACACACCTCAGTTGTCTTACCTGTACCCACACACCCTCAGTTGTCTTACCTGCACCCACACACCTCAGTTACCTGTACCCACACACCCTCAGTTGTCTTACCTGCACCCACACACCCTCAGTTGTCTTACCTGTACCCACACACCCTCAGTTGTTACCTGCACCCACACACACCTCAGTTGTCTTACCTGCACCCACACACCTCAGTTGTCTTCCGTACCCACACACCTCAGTTGCCTTACCTGTACCCACACCCTCAGTTGTCTTACCTGTACCCACACACCCTCAGTTGTCTTACCTGTACCCACACACCTCAGTTGTCTTACCTGTACCCACACACCTCAGTTGTCTTACCTGTACCCACACACCTCAGTTGTCTTACCTGTACCCACACACCTCAGTTGCCTTACCTGTACCCACACACCCTCAGTTGTCTTACCTGTACCCACACACCTCAGTTGCCTACCTGTACCCACACACCTCAGTTGTCTTACCTGTACCCACACACCTCAGTTGTCTTACCTGTACCCACACACCTCAGTTGTCTTACCTGTACCCACACACCTCAGTTGTCTTACCTGTACCCACACACCTCAGTTGTCTTACCTGTACCCACACACCTCAGTTGCCTTACCTGTACCCACACACCTCAGTTGTCTTACCTGTACCCACACACCTCAGTTGTCTTACCTGTACCCACACACCTCAGTTGTCTTACCTGTACCCACACACCTCAGTTGTGTTACCTGTACCCACCTGTTCCCATCTTACATTGTTCCGTTTATAATCTCACTTTCAATATCGTCCACTTGGAACCTCTGTCTACGTCCACTTGGAACCTTCTGTCTATCGTCCACTTGAACCTTCTGTCTATCGTCCACTTGGAACCTTCTGTCTATCGTCCCACTTGGAACCTTCTGTCTATCGTCCACTTGGAACCTTCTGTCTATCGTCCACTTGGAACCTTCTTGTCTACGTCCCACTTGGAACCTTCTGTATATCGTCCACTTGAACCTTCTGTCTATCGTCCACTTGGAAACCTTCTGTCTATCGTCCACTTGGAACCTTCTGTCTATCGTCCACTTGGAACCTTCTGTCTATCGTCCCACTTAACCTTCTGTATATCGTCCACTTGGAACCTGTCTATCGTCCACTTGGAACCTTCTGTCCACCATTATTCTTTCCTCTACCAACTACCTGTTCAGTGATAGTTGGACACCCACCCACACAAACTTCTCTAGGTGTAGTACATGTACACCTTACTAGGTGTAGTACATGTACACCTTACAAGGTGTAGTACATATACACCTAGGTGTAGTACATGTACAGGTAGGGTCCATAGTTCGCTTCTTCCCATAATAAAGTAGCATCGACCCCAGGCAAGATACAACAGTCAGGGTGAGTCACTTGGGAGCCTCATTCCTATGACTGAGTTTCACCACAGGAGCCAACGTTTGTCTGTGAGTGTACACCTCCAGCCACTTGTGTAGCACCACACTAATCTGTTGTATATCAAGCAGACAATTTACATCATTATACATTTTCAGAACTTTATAAAAATACCATACATGACAGTGTTTAGACTGGTAAAACAACGGTAGTGTACCGTACAGCACAATACAGTACCTGCAATGACTAACTTGAAGGACATTATCAGAAATAGAAATGGATGACTGTATATAACCATGAGGAAAATGTTTGGTGGTGCAGAAGTGTTAAGGCTGGAAGTCTGTTAAAAATAAGAGACAAGAAGTGATCAAGTTAGAAACAGTGTTAGTTGGCTTAACATCATAGGCCAGTTTACGTTTTTTTTTTTAGTTTATATTCTGTACTGTGTTAGGCTTGCAATACAGTATTGTGGGGTGTTACCATTATGAAGTCAATTAACTAAGTGTGTTTTGTATCGTGTGTGTCTGTGTATGGTAGGTTAATGTAAGAGAAGGTATGCTAATATTAATTCATTGTCTTTTCAGCTGTACTCTCCAGATTTGACTTTGTGTACCCATCACACATGGTGGTGGAGCAGCAGCGTGTCGTCACATCCCCGGTCATAGACTGTGATGGAGACCTTCAGGTGACCAGGAAGAAAGACCTTCACAAGAAGGAGAGTGCCGTGCTCATTGGTTAGAATATCATTTAGTTGAATAAAGCGCAGTTCATTAATTATAACTAGTATGAAGAAGGAGAGTTGGCATGTTGATGCATCAAAAGATTTGTGTTTTATTCTAATAATGAAGTGCATGATGTAAACACTGTAAGTATGCTTATAACTCCACCCTTGATCTTGTTCACTCTTATAAGTGTTAGTCATGTCCAGTGATCCTCTTGATATAGTGTTTAATTAATGGTTTTTGTTTTAGGTGTACACTACTGTTGTCTCTGCTTATAAATACATACATAATGGAATATATTACACAAGTACTGTAACTGTACAGTGCTCTCCTCTGCTCAGCTCAGCTTTAGTCTTATCTAATCATCATTAGTGTATTGTTTGATGCAGCTCCTTCATCATCTGTAGTAGACAGCTTGTGTTATATGTTATCAGGGCAGAGCCAGAAATTTTTCAGAAGGATTATCAAACTTGTGACGTTGTGACGACTGATGGTTACAGCACCAGGTGTAATACTGATGGTTACAGCACCAGGTTGTGACGACTGACGGTTACAGCGGCAGGTGTAACGACTGATGGTTACAGCACCAGGTTGTGAGGGTTTATGGTTACAGCACCAGGTTGAGGCGACTGATGGTTACAGCACCAGGTTCTGAGGACTGATGGTTTACAGCACCAGGTTGTGAGGACTGATGCTTACAGCACCAGGTTGTTAGGAACTGATGATGGTTACAGCACCAGGTTGTGACAAGCTGATGATTACAAGGCAGGTTGTGATGACTCATGGTTACAGCACCAGGTTGTGAGGACTGATGGTTACACCAGGTTGTGAGGACTGATGGTTACACCAGGTTGTGAGGACTGATGGTTACTGCACCAGGTTGTGAGGACTGATGGTTACTGCACCAGTTTTGAGGACTGATGGTTACTGCACCAGTTTGTGAGGACTGATGGTTACTGCACCAGGTTGTTAGGACTGATGGTTACTGCACCAGGTTGTGAGGACTGATGGTTACTGCACCAGTTTGGAGGACTGATGGTTACAGCACCAGGTTGTGAGGACTGATGGTTACTGCACCAGGTTGTGGAGGACTGATGGTTACTGCACCAGGTTGTGACGACTGATGGTTACAGCACCAGGTTGTGAGGACTGATGGTTACAGCACCAGGTTGTTAGGACTGATGGTTACAGCACCAGGTTGTTAGGGATGATGGTTACAGCACCAGGTTGTGACGACTGATGGTTACAGCACAGGTTGTAGGACTGATGGTTACTGCACCAGGTTGTGAGGACTGATGGTTACTGCACCAGGTTGTGAGGACTGATGGTTACAGCACCAGGTTGTGAGGACTGATGGTTACAGCACCAGGTTGTTAGGACTGATGGTTACAGCACCAGGTTGTTAGGACTGATGGTTACAGCACCAGGTTGTTAGGACTGATGGTTACAGCACCAGGTTGTTAGGACTGATGGTTACAGCACCAGGTTGTGACGACTGATGGTTACAGCACCAGGTTGTGAGGACTGATGGTTACTGCACCAGGTTGGAGGACTGATGGTTACTGCACCAGGTTGTGAGCGACTGATGGTTACAGCACCAGGTTGTGAGGACTGATGGTTACAGCACCAGGTTGTTAGGACTGATGGTTACAGCACCAGGTTGTGAGGACTGATGGTTACAGCACCAGGTTGTGAGGACTGATGGTTACAGCACCAGGTTGTAGGGACTGATGGTTACAGCACCAGGTTGTTAGACTGATGGTTACAGCACCAGGTTGTGAGGACTGATGGTTACAGCACCAGGTTGTGAGGACTGATGGTACGCACCAGGTTGTGAGGACTGATGGTTACTGCACCAGGTTGTGAGGACTGATGGTTACAGCACCAGGTTGTGAGGACTGATGGTTACAGCACCAGGTTGTTAGGACTGATGGTTGCACAGGTTGTTAGGACTGATGGTTACAGCACCAGGTTGTTAGGACTGATGGTTACAGCACCAGGTTGTTAGACTGATGGTTACAGCACCAGGTTGTTAGACTGATGGTTAAGCACCAGGTTGTGAGGACTGATGGTTACTGCACCAGGTTGTGAGGACTATGGTTACTGCACCAGGTTGTCACTATGGTTACAGCATCCAGGTTGTGGACTGATGGTTACAGCACCAGGTTGTTAGGACTGATGGTTACAGCACCAGGTTGTGAGGACTGATGGTTACTGCACCAGGTTGTGAGGACTGATGGTTACTGCACCAGGTTGTGAGGACTGATGGTTACAGCACCAGGTTGTGGGGACTGATGGTTACAGCACCAGGTTGTGAGGACTGATGGTTACAGCACCAGGTTGTGAGGACTGATGGTTACAGCACCAGGTTGTTAGGACTGATGGTTACTGCACCAGGTTGGAGGTGACTGATGGTTACAGCACCAGGTTGTTAGACTGATGGTTACTGCACCAGGTTGTGAGGACTGATGGTTACAGCACCAGGTTGTGAGGACTGATGGTTACAGCACCAGGTTGTTAGGACTGATGATGGTTACAGCACCAGGTTGTGACAACTGATGATTACAAGGGCAGGTTGATGACTGGGTTACAGCACCAGGTTGTGAGGACTGATGGTTACAGCACCAGGTTGTGAGGACTGATGGTTACAGCACCAGGTGTGAGGACTGATGGTTACAGCACCAGGTTGTGAGGACTGATGGTTACAGCACCAGGTTGTGAGGACTGATGGTTACTGCACCAGGTTGTGAGGACTGATGGTTACTGCACCAGGTTGTGAGGACTGATGGTTACTGCACCAGTTTGTGAGGACTGATGGTTACTGCACCAGGTTGTTAGACTGATGGTTACTGCACCAGGTTGTGAGGACTGATGGTTACTGCACCAGGTTGTGAGGACTGATGGTTACAGCACCAGGTTGTGAGGACTGATGGTTACTGCACCAGGTTGTGAGGACTGATGGTTACTGCACCAGGTTGTGACGACTGATGGTTACAGCACCAGGTTGTGAGGACTGATGGTTACAGCACCAGGTTGTTAGGACTGATGGTTACAGCACCAGGTTGTTAGGACTGATGGTTACAGCACCAGGTTGTGAGGACTGATGGTTACAGCACCAGGTTGTGAGGACTGATGGTTACTGCACCAGGTTGTGAGGACTGATGGTTACTGCACCAGGTTGTGACGACTGAGGTTACAGCACCAGGTTGTGAGGACTGATGGTTACAGCACCAGGTTGTTAGGACTGATGGTTACAGCACCAGGTTGTTAGGACTGATGGTTACAGCACCAGGTTGTAGGACTGATGGTTACAGCACCAGTTGTTAGGACTGATGGTTACAGCACCAGGTTGTGAGGACTGATGGTTACAGCACCAGGTTGTGAGGACTGATGGTTACTGCACCAGGTTGTGAGGACTGATGGTTACTGCACCAGGTTGTGAGGACTGATGGTTACAGCACCAGGTTGTGGGACTGATGGTTACAGCACCAGGTTGTGAGGACTGATGGTTACAGCACCAGGTTGTGAGGACTGATGGTTACAGCACCAGGTTGTTAGGACTGATGGTTACAGCACCAGGTTGTTAGGACTGATGGTTACAGCACCAGGTTGTGAGGACTGATGGTTACCGCACCAGGTTGTGAGGACTGATGGTTACTGCACCAGGTTGTGAGGACTGATGGTTACTGCACCAGGTTGTGAGGACTGATGGTTACAGCACCAGGTTGTGAGGACTGATGGTTACAGCACCAGGTTGTTAGGACTGATGGTTACACCAGGTTGTTAGGACTGATGGTTACAGCACCAGGTTGTTAGGACTGATGGTTACAGCACCAGGTTGTTAGACTGATGGTTACACCAGGTTGTGAGGACTGATGGTTACAGCACCAGGTTGT